CGCTTCGTTTGAAAAATAGATATATTCACTTTAATGCACTATAATCATGACATGAGTGCATTAACGTTAATATATCGATGTTGTTTTTTATGATTTTATAAGTTTTTTTTATAGTTATAGGTTTTAAATTGACAAAGTATGAAATAAACATGTTGGATTGTTGGCCTGAGACACCATTCGGACACGCATATCTGCAGGACTGAATGGACACGTAAGCTAGTCGTATACCAAGCTTTTCAACAAGTGTGCGCGTATGTGTGTGTGTTCACGGAATATACTGCTAACGGTACTGCTGTAAACGACACATCCTGAATGCTTTTAGTGCTGCATGACCTTGGTGTCTGGCACATTCACTTGTTTTAACTATTAACCATTGCCAATGCTTACTACACGATTTATTTCGGTTCTCGTAGTAGAAGTGTTAATGGGTCCGAAGCCACTCTGGTTTGGAGAAAAAAAAATATCGTGTACATTGTGCCAGAAGAGAATTCTGCATGTGCCAACAAGTGGAAATATTTACATAGTAAATAAAAAAGGTGATTGTGATTTACTTAAATTTTACTTTACAAATGTTTTTTTCACATCCCAAGTCATATTCTTTCTCATAACCGTTATTTGAATCCAGAGATCATAACCACTATAACACGAAGTTTTATCCAGAAAAAAAACAAAAAACGAATCAGTTTTATTTCACTCAACCACAGGAGAGTACCTTCAGCTAAATCCTTAGTCCCTCTTTCGTATCTGAATATCCCTCCCTGTCTCCCAGCCGATGCCTTCCCTCCATCCTCCATTCTCCCTCATGATCTTCCTCATACCAACCTCATAAACGCTTCCCTCCATCTCCCAATCTTCCCCTATTCTCCCTCATACCAACTTCATTCCAAATGTTTCTCTCCATTCTCCATTCTCCATCATAATCTACCTCATACCAACCACCTTACAAACGCTTCCCTCCATCCTCCCTTCTCCCTCATAATTTACCTCACACCAACCTCACAAACGTTTCTCTCCATCCTCCCTTCTCCCTCGCAATCTCCCTCACACCGGCTTCGCAAACGCTTCCCTCCATCCTCCCTTCTCCCTCATAATCTACCTCACACCAGCTTCACAAACACTTCCTTCCATCCTCCCTTCTCCCTCATAATCTTCCTCATACCAACCACTTTACAAACGCTTCCCTCCATCCTCCCGTCTCCCTCGCAATCTTCCACACACCAACCTCCTCATAAACGGCGCTTGCTTGGATGGAGACGAGCAGAAAGACGGCAAAGGTCTGCGTGATGATGAGAGACTGCCACAGAGCCTCCCCGCGCTCGTAATGTGTCTGCATCCCCACCCGATAGGCCACGAGGTACAGCTCTAAGCACATCGTCACTACCTGGGGAAGAGGCGTGTGTAGGGGCTTCTGAATGCTTGTTATGGTATGAGGTGTGTGGAAGAAGAGGAGAAAAGAGGAAGGAGGGAGAGGAGGAGAAGGAGAGGAAGGAGGGGGGAGGAGGAGGAGGAGGAGGAGAAGAGGATGAAGAAGAAGAGGGGAAAGAGGAGAATGAAAATGATGAGGAGGAGGAAGAGGAGGAGAAAAAGTAGAAGATAAAGAAGGAGGAGGAGGAGAAGAAGAAAGGACAGGGAAACTCTCTCCCCCACTTCCACCTTTCATTCTATAGACATGTTTTTTTTTACAATAATTTTTGCACAGGTTCTGCACCTACACGTTATGGTATGTATCTCACAACATGAATGATTCTCACGCCTTCGGGAAGTGGGTGGAAGTGAAATTCAATTTTGAAAATATTTCTCTCGAGAGAGAGACAGACAGACAGGGAGAAAGAAAGAAAGAGAGAGAGAGAGAGAGAGAGAGAGAGAGAGAGAGAGAAACAGACAGACAGAGAGAAAAAGAGAGAGAGAGAGAGACAGATAGACAGGCAGACAGACAGAGAGAAAGAGAGAGAGACAGAAAGAAAGAAAGGGAGAGAGAGAGACAGACAGAAAGAAAGAGAGAGAGAGACAGACAGACAGAGAGAAAGAGAGAGACAGACAGATAGACAGACAGAGAGAAAGAGAGACAGAGACAGAGACAGATAGACAGACAGAGAGAAAGAAAGAGAGACAACAGACAGACAGATAGACAGAAACAGAAGATAAAAAGGAAAACCCGCCCACACACCTGCGAAGCGTAGAAGCACTGCAGCGAGACGGAAAACAGCTTCTCCGTATTCCTCACCATCTGCACCAGCCGCCAGTGGCTCTGCACCAGCTGGTCGAAGCCAACTGCGCCCGCCGCCCCGCCTTCGCCCTCGCCCCCGCGCCACATCGCTGGAAAAAGAAAAGAAATCACGGTGATAATATATCGACACAGTTATATATATAGATAGATAGATAGATAGATAGATAGATAGATATTTCTCTCTCTCTTTCCTTTTTCTTCTTCTTCTTCTTCTTCTTCTTCTTCTCCTCTTTTATTTTTTTTTCCATTTTTTTTCTTTCTTTTTTCTTTTTT